GCATTTATTTTATCTAATTAATTATTTATTTTTTGATTATTTATCTACAATGATAGTTTACTTGGCATGAACTCAGAAGGATGATACAACAGTTATATGAATATTAGAGATCTAGTCCAAAGAAACACAGAGGCATATTTGGCATGCACCTGATCCATCCCCCAAAAAGACGGTCATATTTGGCATGAATTTGAATATTAGAAATCTAGCCCAAAAAAACACATACAGTAATGAACTATAAGTTGGAAAAATGCTCAAAGTTTGTAAAGTCCAAACTGTCAAACCGATCGCTTCCATCCACCAATCCATGGCCTGCTCAATCTGCATTTGCCAACTTAGCAGACGGATGCAAATTGATTTTTTTTCAATCCGCCTACTTTTGGATAGATGGCGAATGGATGTCACCCAACCCAACCCAAACTGTGAGCACCACTACTTGCAATTATAGACACGTCACATTTGAGGTCTGTAACATGTTTTATCAATTTCTTTTTTCTTTTTTACTATTTTGTGTATTCTCTGCTGCTTTCATCTCTCAGTTGATTTGTCAAACTCGTTTATTTTGGATATATATTTATATATTTAATATTTTATTTATTAGCAATATTGCTACCCTGCTATATTTCTTTGTTTCTCTCTATGTATATACTAATGGATACCACTTTTCCAATCTAAAAAACAAATGAATGCTGACACTACTACCACTTTCTTATTTTTGTGTTTGGTTGGTTTTCAAAATCTATTTTCAAAATTAGATTGACAAAAAAAAAAAGCAACATAAAACTCAAATATTTTTTTACATCAAACGCATTGACCGTTGCACCGACAGATTATAAACCTGAATTAGGTACCCAAACCTAATTGTTTTGCTAGGTATGTTTTTATTTATACAGGGGAGAGAGAGAGAGAGAGAAGAGTGGAGAGGGTGTGGTGTGATGGGGGATTCAAACCCTAGAAGAAGTGTGAGATGTCCACACTGTGCAGGTCCTCTCGCAAAGGAGATGGTAACCACTGAGGCTGAGCTAAGCTTTTACGCACCTCTTTCTTTCTATTATTATAATTATAATTATTTTGTGAAATCTGGTGCATCTTCTATTTAACTGCAGGAAACAAGTGATTGGACTCTTCCTCCCCTCATTAGGGATAGCTTTTCTATGGTAATTATTTTCTTAACCCATCTTATATTTCATTACTTGCCATTGCTTGCACTTGATGCATCATGTGTATATCATCACCTACTTAAATCAATTTTTGAATTCTAAATCAAACCAAAGTAAAAGTAACAAATAGTGAACCTGTCTTTAGATTCACTTAAATTTCCAAGTGAATGGGAATTTGGACCAAAATCTTCGATTTATCCTTTTTTCTATTCCATCTCCGGAGAATTCTTCGTCGTAGAAATTGTTTCAATATGTATGAATATAGAGTTTGTGTTAATCGTGAGATTTTTGCAACATGGTTGAGGAGCATTGGAAACTCTAAGGGAGTTGTCTGTTGAAGGTGGAGTTTTGGAGTGAATTGAGGATTTTATATATTTACCCATTTAGTAAAGTGTATGTCTGTCAATATGTGTCATGTTTTTTTTTGTTGGAAACAAAAAAAGTTTTACACAACTCCAATAAAGTGTTCACACCAAATTGGGTATTCACTTTGCAATTTAATAATAATAATTTAGATCATATAGTATAGATGATAAAGGCAATCGTGAGATTTTTGCAACATGGTTGAGGAACATTGGAAATTCTAAGGGAGTTATCTATTGAAGGTGGAGTTTTGGAGTGAATTGAGGACTTTATATATTTACCCATTTAGTAATGTGTATATATCTCAATATGTGTCATTTTTTTTTTGTTGGAAACAAAAAAAGTGTTACACAACTCCAATAAAGTGTTCACACCAAATTGGGTATTCACTTTGCAATTTAATAATAATAATTTAGATAATATAGTATAGATGATAAAGGCACACACACACACACACATATGGGCTAATGTTTGTTTGTGTGTGTGTGTGGAGAAAACTGTATATTTGCTTAATTTAGTGCAATTTTCTTGAACTTTGCATATTTAATTAGTTTGTTGGGTTATTGAGATGTGATTTGATAATATTTCACTAAATATTTTTCAAAATTTTACTTTTGTTCGTCTTATGTTACAATCCTAAAGTTATTCTAAGTCAGTTAACAATGAGGTTGGCCATGTGAGTACATGCTCTCAGACATCCTCTTATTGCAAGTTGGTTTTCAAGGGTGAGTTTTACCCAAGGGTTTGTATCATTCGGTATTAGAACTAGTCACCATGTGGAGTATGAGATTAGACACAACCTATGTGAGTACGGGATTGAATGGGCCACTGCTTTACGGTCTGTGCTGCGGAGTGAGTAACCTATGGGCCAGATTAAAACATCTTATTATTGTGTGTAGGTATAGTACTATCGTGTTGAATATTGAAAAGTGAGTAAGTCTACAAAAGGGAAAGGAAAATGGCTATTGTTAATTAAGTGTCAATAGAGTGGGCTGTCATGTATGTCAGTTGTGGAGTGTGGTGGTATGTTACGATCCTAACTATTTTATCCCTTTATTTTGCCTTCATGTTTACTTTCTTCTTTCTTTTGTTATGTCTTTACTATTCCTTTTCATGTAGATTGGTTCTGCCGTTGGTTGAAGAAGAAGTGCATTCTATGGATTCAACCATGATGTCATTTTATCCTTATTTTCTACTCGTGTTCCTCAACTCTTCAGTCTGTTCTATGACCTTGGAATAGTTATGTCATTCCTTCAGCTTTTAGTTCATAGTAATATGTTATTAGTTGTGCATGAGTCACAGCTTATTTCATTGGGTTCCTTATATTGCTACTCTATATATTATTTGATATAGGTATTATTGTCATTGTATGACTTATGGTCCCAGTTATTTTGTTGTAAACCAATGGTTTCAAAATGGTTTAACTTAGTAAAAGCATGAAATTTAAGATCTTAAAAGATTAGTATGTCAATGCACGTTAACTTTTGTGTGTGTGCGTGCAAGCGTGCGTGCGTGTGATGTTATTACCACAAAAAGAGATATTACAATTGCTTTCATTACACCTCCCCAATGGGTACACATCTTCGGGGAGATACCCACATGCCTAGCCTAAAACATGCAAGTACCCTTATAGTCAAATAGAATAGGCAAAGCACACAAATACACATCGGAGCCATAAGCACCCACTGGTGATATAGTTAATGCTTGTTGGCAGTTGAATTAGCTATACAAATTGTGGAACTAACACCTAGTTTGCTATCAAAGAAGACAATGTACTTTTTTGTTAGATTTGACTTCTTCATTCTTGTATTCATTACTTTTCTTAAGGTTCAAACCTTGAACTTCGTCTCGATTTTTCCAGGAACAAAGATGCATTTGCTAAAGTATTATAGTTGCATTTATATATATATATATATATATTTTGTATCATATCTTATGCTTCTAGGTTTAAATTAGAATGAAGTAGGCACTAAAACAATTTTTTTATTACAACACTTAGTACAAGAAAAAGTGTAGAGTTCAATGTTGTAAACTGATGGTATTTTAATGTGGCATGACACAATAAAAGAAAGTTTTGCATTAACCATAATCTACATGTGGCTTTGATACTTCAGTAAACAAATGGTATTCTAATGATATAATTCCTGTTCCATTGTTACTGCTAATCTTCTTTTTCTTCTCTTTGTTTCCTCTTTGCATAATATAGCACTCTGAAATTACTTTCCTGAGCAATACCATATGTTGATTTTCTCAATCACTGAAATTGTTATTGTTAGTGATAAACTTTTGACAAAGAGTACATACACTTTTTTTACAATTGGCTTCTTTCCCTCCATGTATTTTGTTATTTATTTTATTGAATTACCTCTACAGTGATGCCAATCGTTCAGAGGTGGGTTAAAGGACCTATCTGGTTGCATTTCCTCATCGGTGTAAGTGTCAATTTCCGTTTCGATTCCCCATTTGCTTGAGCTTTGATTTTTACTTGCAATTTTAGTTCCTTGTATAGCTTAAGCATGTCATTCAATTTGTATAGAAGAATTTATTGTGTGGTTAGAATTTGTAAAGATGCCGCATCTACAATCTTGCTCTAGGTAGCACGGAAGCTCTTAGCATTCCATATTAGTGTCCAATTCAGTTTGGATGCTAGCACCTAAAGGGCAAGCGTCGACATGTGTTTGACACACTTACGGTTGTCCATATCGTGTCGTATTCATAACCCATGTTGTTATTTATGCTTGTCAGATATTGTTGTAACAGAGACCTAAAGACACGTGTCACACGATTTGGTTTGATACACTAAACAACCGATTTGTATCTAAGGGTGAATCGACAATAAGCATAAATTGCATCGTAATTGTATGATTCATCATACGTATTACACGATTTAGTTTGATACACCAATACCAATCAATTGGTTCAACTTTATCCACGTGTTTCTACTTGCACAAGAAATATTTGGGAGGCATCAAGCAAGAGGTTATAAAAAGTGGTGATTTGAGTAGTTTGGACCATTTTAGATGAGTATTTGGATTACTTGAGTTGTAAAATTTTATTATTGGCGTTTGCCTCTTCGATGAATTGAAGACTTCTTTTTTTTTTTTCTTCTCATTTTTTTGAAAGGTCTCTTTTTAACACGAGTTTCAATTCTAGCATTTGTGTTTTGCACCAAAACTGAAGTCTATATATACCCTATATAAAAAAGAAACCAACTATATTCTATTAAATTTATCTCACTATTGTGATTTGAAATTTTGAATTTTTTATCTTTCTTTTTTGACGGACCATGGATTCTTGTCTCCATTGATTCATAACAGCACATGCATTTATGGATTGTCATTAATTGTAATGCATAATAAAAAAATGAAATATAGGATCATAGATTATATTGATCCTTGAACCTACATCACTTAGAGGCAAGCATGTTATTGCCTATTGCATCATGTGATCATCATTCAAAACAAACTTTTCATTGATTTATGTCTAAAATTTTCATATTTATAATATATCTTTAATATCTAATTGTTTAAATATTTTTTAATGTATTTTAGAAATTATAACCAAATAATTATGATTCATGATTTGGAAAAATGTAATTTTGATTCATGATTCAATTCTTGATTTGGCCATTCTGTTAAGGGCTTTACGCCATTCTGTTAAGGGTTTTACGCCATTCTGATAAGGGCTTTATGCCATTCTGTTAAGGGCTTTACGCCATTCTGTTAAGGGTTTTACGCCATTCTGATAAGGGCTTTACGCCATTCTGTTAAGGGCTTTATGCCATCCTAATAAGGGCTTTATGCCACTCTTTTCAAGGGCTTGAAACCATTCTGTTTAAAGTTTAGGCCTAAGGCCACACTGGAAATAATTACAGGATAAGTTAACTATATGCTCTCTGCACTTATACATGTCCATTGCCATTCACGTTAAATGCTAAATTGTTTATGTATTACTATTCACTAAGCTTGGCTCACTTTATGCTATGTCTGTTTCTGTAGGCGCTCCACCTGGAGGTCAGTCTTAACCCATGGCTTCCATTCCTCCTTGGTCAACCTCAGAGTGTCCAGGCACCAAAATGAAGGCAGCTCATTTTACAGAGTTTTGTTAAGCTTTTAGTTGTGTACCCTGATGGTCTGTTTAAGGTTAAAGTGCATATAATTCTTTTACCCTCCAATGTTTCTGTTATACACCAATCTTGAGGGCTGGGTCGGTATATTAATGTGTACATAGCTAAATTCTTCGAGGCATGTCTCTGTATGTCTATTGGCCATATGTTCTGTTTGTGATCCTGGCATACTAGTGATGGCTCAATGGATGTTTTGTATGTTGTTATATAAGATTAAATGCTTCCGTTCAGGCCCCATATCTTATATACATCGAGTTAAGTGTCCGTTTTTGAAGTGGTCATGCCCGAACTTTTAGGGGCGGGTTCGGGGTGTGACACATCTTCGGGGAGATACGCACATGCCTAGCCTAAAACATGCAAGTACCCTTATAGTCAAATAGAATAGGTAGAGCACACAAATACACATCGGAGCCATAAGCACCCACTGGTGATATAGTTAATGCTTGTTGGCAGTTGAATTAGCTATACAAATTGTGGAACGAACACCTAGTTTGCTATCAAAGAAGACAATGTACTTTTTTGTTAGATTTGACTTCTTCATTCTTGTATTTATTACTTTTCTTAAGGTTCAAACCTTGAACTTCGTCTCGATTTTTCCAGGAACAAAGATGCATTTGCTAAAGTATTATAGTTGCATTTATATATATATATATATTGTATCATGTCTTATGCTTCTAGGTTTAAATTAGAATGAAGTAGCCACTAAAACATTTTTTTTTATTACAACACTTAGTACAAGAAAAAGTGTAGAGTTCAATGTTGTAAACTGATTGTATTTTAATGTGGCATGACACAATAATAGAAAGTTTTGCATTAACCATAATCTACATGTGGCTTTGATACTTCAGTAAACAAATGGTATTTGTACGGGGAGCAAATATTCCGGCAAGCCCGTACTCCTTTCTTCCGAGCTCCGTCGATGTCCGATCACCTGCGAGCAAGTAACGGTGAGCTACCCGGCGGTGTGTGGCCGGAAAAACCCTCCGACGATCAAGTTAGCACACACCTTAGGATGGATAGAGAGAAGGGAGAGAGTGGTTGAGTGTAAGAAATCCTTACAGAGATGTTCGTGTGTCGTATGGGGGACGCAGACCTGCTTATATACCCTCTGCGCCCCATATCTACTCCCAGTCAACTCCTGACGCGTGGCTCCGCTATCCCATCTGTCAGCATAAACCATGCCAATCATCACCTAATCTCAACTGCCTGTCATCACAGCTGGAGCTCGGCAGCCGAGCTGCCATATCCGTTGAAGTGCCGCGCTCTATACCCTAGCACTTCACTGGCCAAGACCAAGGAAAACCGGGCTAGGAGGCATCTCGGCTAAGCCTAGCCCGAGGCACCTCCTGGGGTCGGCCTTTCTGCCGGTCAGTCAACTTCCTCGGCTGTCCACGCCTTCCCGGGCGCCGGTCACTCGGCCTATCTGGCTTTGGCCATCCTCGGCAACTTCCTCGGTTGTCCATGCCTTCCTGGGCGCCGGTCACTCGGTTAATCCGGCTTTGGCCATCCTCCGACCGGGCACCCTGGTCCGACCGAGCACTGCCTTACCGAGCAGTTTCTGTCCGGTCCAGGGTGACACTCAGCCCGTACTCTGCCCGGCCCAAATTCTGGCAGCCCACCTTGGGTAAAAAGTCGATCGTCTCGGACCTATGCACCGTTGGGCCCTCAACTTGCCCGGTCGATATCTCGGCCCAACTCCAGATCATAAATTACCCTCTCAGCAAGGTATCCTAAACAATGTAAGCACATTAAAAATTATCAATTGCATACTTGCATTACATAGCACAAATAAAACACTAAGTACGATTTTTATCAAAAAAAAATTCAGTGTATTGATGTTGCTTTTAGTATTGGTGATGCAGTCCCTAGGCTCGGTCGTGATGAGTGTGTCTTGCACCCTGACATGTTGTATGAAACCATTGGTAGGATGCTATAAGTTCTTGATGGACAGAGTTTGGAATCTATATCGACACGTACAGAGCATCAAGTCTACTATCGTAAACATCGTAAGATGGACTGTACATGAGAATTGGTATATAGTTTTTTTTGATGTCATAGTTATGTGTCGACCGTATATGAGAGTTGGGATTTAGTTTTTGTTTGATGGCACACTTTTTGTAAATGTCTAACCCGTATAGAGTTTGGGATATACTTTTGTATTGACTGTACATGAGAGTTGGGATATAGTTTTTTTTTTTTTGATGGCATAGTTTTTGTGAATGCCTAGCCCGTACAGAGTTTGGGATATACTTTTTCCTAATGGCATAGTTTTTGTGGATATCTTGGATGACTAGTAAACTGGATGTTTGGTTAGACAAGTAATGAAGTCTCATACTTTTGTATGAATTTTAAACCATTTCACATCTATTTGTATTCAATATTTATATGATGATTTTAATGACAAATTATTTTGGTGACCATATGTATTTGTTATTGTTTGTAATGCATTGTAATGATATTAAAGTGTTTTGGAGTGATATGATACCATTTTCTAGAAGTAACATTGTTTTTTTCAATGCTATGGGCCAGTTCAATGGCACACTGCTAAATAATTTCCACTATTCTGGTGTTATTTTGCCGAAAAAAATAGATCCCTCTAGCATTTTGTTGCTATACATTTACAAAACCACTTCTAAACAATGATTTTTTAATTTGTGCTAGGACTGTTCGATAATAGAATGCTACACAATTTAAATTATTACAGTGTCATGTTACCAGATAAAAAAAAAATTCCCCAGTATTATGCTGCCGCTCAATTGGATAATTTCAGTTTGCTTCACAACAAAGCCAGTGGAGCCCACATTGAAGTGTTTATTTGGTCACACAATGATAAAATATTTACATTACTCTAGTGTTATGATGCCAGAATAAATTGGTTTGGTTTGTCCAGCGTTTTGTCGCTATACATTTACAGAGCCACTTCTTTTCAAATAGTGTTTTTAAATTTGTGTTGGGCCTGTTCGATAATAAAATGCAAATGAATTTCAATTACTCCAATGTCGTGTTACTAGACAAACTATTTTTTCCAAACATTATGTTGTCGTACAATTGAATAATTTCAATTTGTTTCACAAAAAAGTCAGTAAAACCCATTGTGAAGTGTCTGTTCGGTCACATGGTACTAGACCAATTACATTTTTCTGGTGTTATGTTGCTGGAAAAAATAGGTTTGTTCAGCATTCTGTTGCTATACATTTACAGAGCCACTTCGTTCCAAACGATAATTTGGGCCTGTTCGGTAATACAATGTTAACGAATTTGAATTAATCAGTTTGATAAAAAACATTCATAAATCAAACACGCATCTATAAAATTATACATAAAAAGTATCCATAAAATTTTTCAAAAAAAATAAAAATCAAGTGTACGAATATCCATAAAAGCATTCATAAAATTTGTCATTGTTCGCATCGGTCAATCAAATATGTTATTACAATTCGTCTATATCGATTGTTTTGGTAGTTACTACGTCAAGGCTAATAAGAGTACGGAATTGATAAATACGGATAGTATATGCTTTCTCCCATCCACTAGCACACGGGTGATGAAAACGAATTCAATTATTTATTATCAGAGGTACTGGATGACCAGGTTACAGATAAACCTACAACAAAAAAAGCAATAAGTAGAATTACAAAATAAGACACGGTAATGATCTAAGTAGGCTCAGTAGTTACCTACACGAAATGTTTTCCATTTACAAATCCTATGCAAATATCTCTTCAATCAGGTGTTGCAATCGGTACTGATCTAAGTGGTAGAAACGTCAAGCATTGTTGCTTGAATAAATGATAAAGAACGACTCGATAGTATAATACTATCAAATGGCCCATGTCGGGCATAGTCATCCAATGATTAAATCTAGGGCCAGGTTCGAAATATGATAAGATAGAGTTAAGGTCATCAACCCTTTCTTAGGAACTAAATAGTTACACATAGTGCACTACATTCAAATGCAACTCAGTCAACAAGTTGCACCTAACTTGTTGCCAATCATCTTCACCTAGATCAATCAATCCAGCTATTACCCTAAAACCACAATTACTATCTGCTTGTATATCTTTTATGTGATGAATATATGGTCTCAACTTCTCCAAAATTGTTCGAAGTAAGAGATACGATTTGTTGACTGCGTCATATAGACCTACATCACAAATATACAGCAATGGACATATGAAATAATTAAAATGAGACTGAACAACTATTAAAATATATTTTGTACATAGTTACAAGTTTTATGTAATTACATACATTATCTTTGTTTTGCCTTCTTCTGTTGCACTTGCTTACAAACTGGTGCAGTTGAGATGGTAATACCTTGTGAATAACCATCTTTCCTAGATAATACAAACTCAAACGCAGATGGCTCGTGTTTAGTAAATGTATCGATTTTCAATTGACCACGGCCACGACCTCGACCCCTATCTCGTGTGTTAGTCTTGAGTTCAGGTTCCACAAAAAATGTACTAACTGGACTAATTAACTCCATCAACTTCTTCAAAAGAATCACTTGTTGTGTCTCGTCAATTGTTTGGAATTTCTTAATAAAAAAATCAGTCTATGTTTTGCAATCAAACTCCACAAAAGCCCTTTCTGAAACTGGAAGCATATCTAACTTCCTCCAATGAGGATTTAATAAGAGAGGGGAATCGATCGACCTTGTTGAAAATACTCAGTTATTTCATGTGCATATGGCAATCCATGTGTACGTCACAAAATGCAACCACATGCAACAATATATATTCCCACACTATTCAATCTCTTTGACTCTACCAATATTTTGTCCAAACTACAAATTGAAATAAAATCACGTAACTCAGTGAACTCAGTAGGTGTGTAGTTGTGTTGGACTACAATCAAACTCTGTTGAAATGAGGCTTTAATGTCTGCATGCTGTAACTCTAACAAATTGTGTATTTTGGTCCAAGATGTCTCAAAACTGCCTTGACTTGATCCAAGTTGCCTCTTTAATTTAGCATGAGAACTCTCCGCCTTACAAGTATGTATATTTTGATATTTAATATAAAATTCAAAAAATTATACAATTCATAAATGTAATGAACATAATTTGCCTGTTTGTAGTAGTATTTTCGAAATGCATAGTACTGTTTGTCCAAACTGCAACAAATTTTTCCTTGTACGGCTCTAACCAATTGGTAGTAACATGCTTAATAGCTTCAGGATACGTACTAAATTCGGTATTGAGATTGGAAAATTGTCCATTAAATTTCGTTTTTGTTCTAACCAATACCAAAGCACTCTGGTGTTATGTTGCTGGAAAAAATAGGTTTGTCTAGCGTTTTCCGCAGATAATCTACTAACAGGTACTTCATCAAAGTAGTAAAGACCTTCAAGCATCCTAGCACGCCCAATCATCATCCCCGAGTTCTGGTCCTGAAATTCACAATGGGATTCAAAAAATATAACACGACAATTAGAATCCTTAGATAGTTTACTGACAGACAAAAGGTTACAGGCTAAGTTGGGGACGTGAAGAACAGCATTGAGAATGAAGAGTTGAAAATCAATCTACAAGCGCAATTTCATTCTCCCAGTTTTGAATTCTCAATCCATTTAGACTTTTTAAGATAGGTGTCATCCAGTGCCTTCACCCCTAGCGTGTTGAAGTTGCAACTTAATGAAGTTGGGTGGGTACTACTTATGCTCTGAAAATGAAGTGAAAAGGTTACCCTTTTATAATTGGGGACGTTTTGAAGAATAATTTGAACATTATGCACTGTAATGATGAATTAGATCACTTGGAAATCCAAACTAAACAGCTAGCTAGAATGAAAGTGTTGATTCGTTAGTACTCCTTTGTAGTGCACGTCCTATAATGCAGCCACATATTTACCCTTGGTAGATGTGACTCATTTGACTGCAACCAGAAGTATAGCCACCATCAACAACAAGATTGTGTGCTGTTATGAATCCAGCATCATCGCTCGCTAGAAACAAGGCAGCATGCGCAACATCTTCCACACTTCCACTTCGCCCACGCAGTAAACTTCCCTTTTTGCCCACTGTCTTACTCACTTCTTCGGGACTCAAATCCATCTTCCCTAGGAACGTCTGGTAGGCACTCACAAGCATCTCCGTAGGGACACCATGTGGCGAAACACAATTCACGCGAATCCCGTGTATGCCTAACTCACAAGCACTGCTCCTTGCTATTCCAAGAACAGCTTCTTTGGAGAGCGTGTAGGCGTGTGATGCTAGGCCTCCCATGATGGCTGCCGAGCTCGATGTGCATATGATGGAGCCTCCTTTTCCTCCCTTGATCATAGCCCGTGCTGCGTGCTTTATTCCGTGTACAATGCCGTTCATGTTAATGGCAAGTAGAGCTGTCATGTGGTCCATTTTGAGGTTGGTGATGCTCCCAGTGGGTCCTCCAATGCCGGCATTATTGAACAGGATGTCCAGGTGGCCTTTCCACATCAGCGCTAGTTGCACGGCTGATTCCATGTCCGCTTCCTTTGCCACGTCACAGTGTACGTAGCGTCCACCAATAGAATCAGCTAGGGTTGTCCCCAGTTCATCCAGTATATCAGCGATGACAACATGGGCCCCATTTCCAGCAAATAGTTTTGCGGTGGCGGCTCCGATCCCTCTTGCACCACCAGTTATAAGTGCAACTTTCCCTGTCAACCTGGTAATACATAATCAGGGAGGGAGGGAGGGTATCAAGTTTGATTTCTGAGAAGCTAACAATGAGAAGGAACACAAAGAAAAAGAAATGCATAAGGAATCATAAGAACCGAGAAAGAAAATCAAATGTTCGATAACTGGCTGCATTTAAATTTCGAAAAAAAAAATGATTAACCAAATCTTTAGAAACCAACTGGGTTTCTTATTTAGAAACATGTTGGTTTCTATAATCCATAAAAATGGCTCTGAAGAAGATCAACAATAGGACAGGATCAACCTTTTTGCCGATGAGCTGTGTCCATTGTCATGCATATCACAGTTTAGCTCCATTTTTGTCCTTAGAAATTTACTAAGTGGTGTTTGTTATATATATAAATGGTTCAGAATTCATAATAAAGATTTAAAAGAAAAAAAAGAGTGTGAAAATGAAAACGAAAACGAAGTAGGTAGTGTTTATTCGATTCTTTGCTGTTGGATACACACCTTTGTCATTTCTTACATCTACTTTCAAACCATGAGATTTGTAACTTTTATTATTATTATTATTATTATTTTATCTTGGTGAATGAATGAATGAATGTTTTAGTAATATTCATATTTGATTAATTTACAGGTACAGGTGGTGATCTACTCCTCAACTGAACATTGCCTGAAACGCAAGGAAAAGATTACATTTTACATGTCCCATTCATTTTTCACTGATTTTGTATTTTTAATAATGGAGGGGTATATGAGTAGTCTTGGACCAAAAAAATAATGTAGATATGGAAAACAAAAGGATTGATAAAACTGTCAAGAACTACAGGATTTTCTAAAGGCATAGCCATTGTGGCGCGATGGTGCAAATTAGTAATGGAATCTCCAAGAAAGTCTATGCTCTTCACTGTGGCCCTACATTGGATGAATTCTTTCCAAATGTTGAGATATGATTGTCAACCTGACCTTTTTATTTTTTTAATTTATGAAAAGTGTCCGTGTGAGGCAATTTTGATAAGCGCATATTTGAGAGAAACCAAACGCTTTCCAAATTAAAATGATATTTATGACATCAAAAGATAAAAATGGGATCTAAATATGTGTGTTAAGTGCTTGTTAATTTAGGAAGTGTGTATTCCAATGGTATAATTAAGATGTTTGTTGAATATATATAAATTAGAAAATAGTAGAAGTGTCAAAAATTAGCCATACTCTCTTCTCTCATTCTGTCATATCTCCTTCCATTTTCTCTCTTTCTCCCCCTCCTAACAAATTTATTAGTTGGGTAACAAATTTGTAATAGTTACTGCCTTGGCTTAACCATTGAAGTGCAAGGAAGTAAATCTGGAGAATTTAGACGGGATTTAAAAGATTCCTTTAATGTCACTTGAAACAGACAAACAATTCTGGTCGGTGGTACCGAAATTAACACTCCGACGGTCTAGTCAATTCTATCTCTGAGTTCTTGATATTTTATCTTTCTTAGAATATAAGTTATTCTCACATACCTCTTTCCTCAGTCTCTTTCCTTTTTTTATAGAATCTTTCTCTAGTCCCACTTTCTTATCATGCTTTTTTGGAATGGGACAGCATAGTTGTTCAACAGGACCCTTCTGACTACCCTAGACTACTCGGCTTCGGCATACGGCATGCATATCCCTAATTTGGCATTCAATATGATTCTCAAAGTTTACTCGGCTCTAATTCAACCCAATAAATTTGCCTAGTGAGCCGATCTCAGATTGGTCCCAGTTGAATTGGACTTGTTTCAGACAGTTCACCTTTTTGGGCATCTATTTAATTATGGGTCCCACTGGTACTTGACTCACCTATTGATGCTCTTAGAAGCAAAAAACAAAGTAGTGTGTAGCATACCTTGGGGTACCTATTTTTAACAGTGTAAAAATGGCTCGTGGCTTGGGGTGGACCCAACCCATTTAGGCCCGTTTGGGCCCGAGCCCAGCCCGAGCCCCTAGACTGGGCTTGGACCATCATTTTGAAACCCAACCTGTGGCCTGGCCCATTGACCCGATTAAGGCCCATTCAAGGTCTGACTTGCGCCGAAGCCCGATATCTTTTTCAATGGAAAATAATAAAATTTTAGTAGAAAAAAATTTGAAAAAACAAAAAATTTGTCAGGCCCGCCCAAGACTCGAATACCTTAGGCTTAGGTCTGGGCTTAATTTTTTGGCCCGTGGGCCACCCGGCCCGATCCAAATTTTGGCAGGAACCTACGAGGGCTAACATGGGCTGGCCCGGGCCCAAGCTCGAGTGAGACGCGCCAGATTTATACCCCTACCTATTTTGTAGTATCCATTTGGCATATATGAAAAAAGTTCAAATAAATTGATTTTTAAAAGGGTTTGACTCCATCAATTTAAGAGTGCGTTTAAGTTTGGTAAGTTTATTTTGAGACCGATTTTGATGATTTGAACATTTTACTTTTCAAAAGTAAAATATTTATGTAAAAAATTAAGAAGAATAGATATTGATAATTATATGTTTGAATCATATTTATTTTAGAAAAATTGATGACAAATATAATTTCAAGAATATTTATCTATTTTTTATAATACAAATATAATTCAAATATATAACTATCATGTCTGATCATTTTAATTTTTATATAAATATTCTACTTAACGATTCCTTAAAAACTTGCAAAATACAAACAATCTCAAAGGTCTTTTTTAGAAAGTGGGTTAAAAGTCACTTCTTAATTTTTAA